GAGAGCAAAATCATTGGAGAACCATGCTACCTGTGTGTGTCTCTCAGAAATCTGTAAGAACTTCTCTTAAAGTCATCGTAACCATTTATACATGGACTTTCTTGGTGGTCTGAGACAGAGGCAATTTCTAAGAAATTGGCTCACACTGCCTTAAGGAGTAGAGACAGTACAAAATACGAATATCTTGAAAACAAGCTAGGAATAAAAGCCACAGATTCAATCGTCGAGATGATAAAATACACGGAAGCACAATTCAAAACAAAATGTGATACACGAATAAATCAAAGGCTATCTTCATGGAAAAGCGAGTCCATCGCTAGCAGGTGCATCGATTCCAGGAAAGCCACTGGTGAGCTTTCACCAGGAGGCCAGCTAAACAGAGTGGGGGCAGGTTCACTGCTAAGTGTAATTTAAAGGGCTTTGAACTCCCAGACAAGTCTCCCTCCTCTTTTATTCGTCTCTTTGCTCTTCTTTTAATCTTGTCAGTCATGCCAGAATATTGCTAATTCTAATGCTTGTTAGAAGCAGGCGACCTATATCTACAAAAGCACATGTATTTAACACACACACACCACGGAGAATGTGCCTCATTAATAATCCGTTAGGCACTGGAAGCTCCAGCTCCCTTGATGACGTCTGGATCGTGACAGAAGTGACAGGAGAGGCAAGCCTCGGTCAGCAGCGGGGAGCTGCAGAGGTCGGCGGTCTGGACCCAGCAGCTGCCCAGTAGCTTCCTGGCAGTGGCCTCATGGGTGGCAGCTCAGCCGCATACTCTACCACAGGGAACCAGAGAGGAGAAAAACAGGAAAAATTACACTGTTTGCAGCCCAAATCAATCCCAAAGGATTTATGACTTAATCTTAGTGCAGCATCACTGAAAGAAACACAATCCAGTCAACTGGAAGTAATTTAAAAAGCAATTTTCATCTTTCCTTGTTCTCTCAAGGAACATTAAAGGGGATCCAATTCATAATCTATAGCAATATGGGGGAAAATTCCCTTCTCTTTGTCTGTTCTTTTACACACACAACACCCCCGACGCGGGGTCCCTTCCCTTCACTCCTTGCTCAGCCTTCCCGTCTCAGGAGCTCCCAGAAACAGCACCTGCACCGCTCGTTCGTCTGTCCCTGGGGCCACACGCACACACCTGTCTGTGATGCTGTGAGATTTCTGGAGACCCGGCAAGACCCCTCCGAAGGAGACATGGCCGCCAGTCCCCACGAGTGCGCCTCTCCCCGACTCTCCACTTCTTTAGTTCCTTTTGTAGCATTCCCAGATAAAACGCAGGACATCCGGGGCATGTGGGCCATGCCAAGGGTCTTTTAGAAAGGTCATGGCAAATGTGTGTTATGAAAAATCAGCGCACGGATTGCAAATGTTTTTGCACCAAAATAAACTTATCTTTTAATTTCACTTTCCATGAATTTATAAAAGTACCCTTTTACTTATACTGAAAGATTGTTTGTCATTTATCTGAAATTCAAGTGAAGGTGGGTGTTCTTTTTGTTTTCTACATCTGGCAAGCATATCATTTTGGAGAAATTTTTTTCACCAAAAATTCTTGTTCACTTCAGGGAAACATAATACCATGTTGGATACTAGTACAACCATGTGGGGGAAACTAAAGTGACCTCGGATTTCCACCACATGAGACAAGATAATACTAGTTTGTGTTGTTATTACAGAGCTGAGCCATGTTGTGCAGCTTCACCCGTAAGAAAATGCTTGGCTTTAGCTAATGTACATGTAAAAATAAACCGTGTGGATGTCCTTTCTGTCTAGAAGTTGAGGATCCATTTAGCATACACAAGGACTTGCTATGAAATAGGTGGCACAAAATAGGTCTCTCAAAGTGCAATTGAGAGATTTCGATGTTATCTTTAAAAATTAGCATGCTCCACCCACATATGGAGATATTAGTTACATGTTGCATTTCATGAGCCTATGAGTTTCATCTTAATGAACAAGTAGCCAGCTGCTGACAGGCAAGTGAGGCGTCTTCTTTGCCTAGGAGTCACCTTGGAAGGTGATGTCTTGATCTAGAGATGTGGCTCCTTCTCTTGTGGAGTCCTTGCAAGCTGTTCCAGCGCCCGTTTATGGGCCACACACAGGAATCATTCTTCTTGCTTTATGGCCTCTCTTTGTTTTGTCCTCGGACTGTATTACCCAGCTGGATCTCCCGCTCTGCCCACTCCGCTTGGTTCTAAATGACTTTTGGCTCGCTCCAAAAGGTCATATCTATCCTCCAAGGATGAAGATTCACAACCATCGGGAATACAGTGACATCTCAATTAACAAATCCCCCAGGAGCTGAGCTCTTTTATAATAAAGTGCCCGTATTAAAAATGAGATTAACTCCTTATAAATCATACAATACAGCATGGCTTGAGTATACTAACTGGATGAAAATGCCTTCTGAAAGGACTTCTGTTTGTCCCTGTGGCGTTTAAAGCAGAAAGACAGATCCCCTCCAAACTGCCAATCACCTTGCCCATCCCTCTCCACGTTGGAGTCAGTGGCCACCTCCTCCACCTACCCCACCTTGATTTTACCTAGCCCATGCCTTCTTCCTACTTAAAATTTCAGAATTTGCACTTCCTGATTGATTGCCTGATTTGATTTTCCAGGGAATTGACTTATTTGCTTATTCAAACTTATTTATGTAAACTAAGCTTCAGTTGATGTATTACTTTAACCAGCAACTTGAATTAGGGTTGGTATTAAAAGCTTTGTCCCTAAATCCAGGAGAACCGGACTCATTAGGTATCTGATAAGACATTTTGGGAAATGAGATTGCAGCTGAAAATACTGACTGCTCTTGAGTGATCGACTTCATTGGAGAAGGAGTAGAGGGAGGGTCAATGTATTATCCTTTGGAGGCAGGTATGTGGTCTAGCAGTTAAGTCACCGTCATCCCACATCAGAGTGCCTGGATCGAATTATTGGCTCTAGCTCCTGAGTCCAGCTTCCTGCTGTTGTAGACCCCTGTAGGCAGCAGTGACGGCCCACGTGGTTGGGTTCTGGCCACCTATATGGGAGACCTGGGTTGAGTTCCTGGCTGTCAGCTTTGGTCCTGGCTGAGGAGTGGGGTGGCAGGTGGGGGGATTTGTGGGCATTAGGGGGGAAGTGAACCAGAGGCTGGGAGCTCTTTTTCTGTTTGTCTCTCAAATAGACAGAAAAAAAAATTTTTATAAAAAGTATTATCTTTTGTATTCAAATGGTTCCTGTGTTCCTTTACAGAGAAAGGAAGGTGGGCCAATCTCTGTTGTTGGATGCTGTGTCTCAGAGCAACTAGGAGTAGGGCTGTGTTAAGAAACTTCATAGGTGGGGCGGGTGACGTGGTGGGTAAAGCCGCCGCCTGCAGTGCCTGCATCCCTTATGGGCACCAGTTCCAGTCCTGGCTGCTCCACTTCCAATCCAGCTCTCTGCTATGGCCTGGGAAAGCAGTAGATGATGGCACAAGTCCTTGGGACCCTGCACCCGCCTGGGAGACCAGAAAGAAGCTCCTGGCTCCTGGCTTCGGATAGGCACAGCTCCGGCCGTTGCAGCTATCTAGAAAGTGAACCAACGGATGGAAGATCTCTCTCTCTCTCTCTCTCTCTCTCTCTCTCTGCCTCTTCTCTCTGTAACTCAGACTTTCAAATAAATAAAAATAAATCTTAAAAAAAGAGAAATAGAACAGAAACACATACATTAAAAAAAAGAGAGAGATTTCATAGTTATGTTCCCTGAGGAATTCCCCTGCCATTCTGTAGCATTAAAGAAAGGAAATACCCTAATATGGTAGAGGGGGAAATGGAAAAACTCTAAGGTTTCCATGAAAGTGCCTGCTACTGGGAAAAAGGACAAGGCAACAGCTGGTTCATCTTCAAATTCAGTGAAGTTTTCCTCTGAATTTACACCCCTGACATCATCAACAGCAACTATATGATACTTTAATATCAGCACAACGTATTTATAGTCTTTTAAATATTTCCTAACCACATTTTGGGCAATGATCTGGAAGATTCGGCACACAGTTACCTTAATTTTTTCCTTTAAAAAAGTAAACTTCCAGCTAGTACATTGCTCAGAACATCAGCATTTAGAGGTTCCAAAAAGTGACATGCGGAGGAGATGGTAGATGCTTAAATACGGTTCATTTTTCTATATCCAGGGAGATGTGGAGGTGTTCCTGCCCTGTTCATGTCTCTTTCTAGACCATAAAAGCAGGAACAAGCAATACAATGATGCATTGTGATGATGAACAATAATAACGCAAAACAGCAATACCTGTCTTCAGATTTTGGTGGCAATTTCTTAGCCTTTTTGTATGCAGATGAAGAGGTGAATTTTTATAGCAAATCTGCCTTCAGGTCTAAATGCCCTCCTACACCTTACACCTACTCCCAAACACACACACTTTAGGGTTGGGAAGGTGACATCAAAATCAGGCTGTTAAAGATGCTACAAAGTTGGTTCTGCCTTCCTCAAAAACTTATCCTGATCACTTTAATTGGGTCTGTTTTTATGATTGTTAATAACAGATATTTATTCAGGATCAAAAATGATCTGTGTTGGAATTGGGAAAAATAGAACAAATGGTCATAAACGATGATTTCCTGTTGAATAGAAATGAAACAGAAATAGAAATAAAAGAGCACACTTCCAAACAGAATGAATATCATCTTTCTTTATCCTGAAGGCAAGAAAGAAATGACAATGCTCAAATGTATCAGCATGTAAATCGGTTTCCACAAAATCATAATTTTCATTCAATCCCAATCCTCTTATTAATCCATGTCTCTTCAGAAACTTTAGAAGATGTATTCTGTTCTGACTTCTGCAAAAGTTCTCTCTCTTTTGATGTATTGAAATAGTTTGGGAGTGGGCTTGGAAAAATATCCTAACTCCTTTCTCTGAGGCTGTCTTCTATAGAATTTCTAATTTTTGCTTTCAAAGAATTTATACTTAATTCCAAACTATTTTTTTTGTGCCTTTTTTTTTTGCCTGGTATACAGAAGAACTCCCTGAAGATTATTCTAGCAAATTCCAGTATACATGAAAAAAATCATCCTGACACCAGAACCTACCTGTTGTACCATTGGGTTGACATCCAAGAAAATGAATGAAAAGAATTTCTGCAGGACTTGTGGCTAAATTGATCTTCCAATTCTAGAACTGTAAGATATCTGGAAGGTGATGTTCAAAATGATGACTAAGAAAAAAAGGAGTGTTTAAAATATTAATAATTGATTTGGATTCTTAACAGGTCTCTAAAGTAAGGAAGGAAAGATCAAAAGGGATTGAGGGTGATAACATCTTTTTCTATAAAGTATTAAGGTTTTAAATATGGATTTTTAGATATGCTAATATTTGTACTGAGAGGTGGATGAGTAAGTAAAACTGCAGTCAAACTAGAAAGATATAAGAGGACCAATAGGGTGGCTTAATGAGAGACAAGGTTGTTTGGAGAAACTGGACAGTACAGTAGTAGAACTTCAGTTCAAGGACTTCAGAGGAAAGCATAAAATCCAGAAAAAGAAGAAGGGAAAAGAATTATACAGAGGAGCTGACCAGAGTGCCATGCATTCAGGAAAAGAAAACTAATTGAAGAAAAAGAAATTCCAAGGAAGCTGCACATTGGAATTTGTGCAACTATATATGGCGTCTATACCTTGAGATCATTTCCTGCAAGAATAAGGTGATTCTTCTTGTTTGTTTACTGTCTGTTACCAAAGAGTGTCCAGGATAGGTGTCATGTGTTCAGCCAGTGTGGAAGGTATAAGGATGGGCCCTAGATGTATAATCTGTAGTTGATGATATTAGACATTCATTCCTGTTAGGAAATCTCCACACTGAGGGTTATCTTGAGTCACTGATAACTCTTGTTTTTTGTTTAAGATTTATTTTATTTATTTGAAAGACAGAGTTAGAGAGAGAGGTAGAGATAGAGAGAGGTCTTCCATCGGCTGATTCACTCCCCAGATGGCCACAATGGCTGGAGCTGTGCCTATCTGAAGCCAGGAGCCAGGAGCTTCTTCCTGGTCTCCCATGTGGATGCAGGGGCCTAAGGACTTGGGCCATCTTCTACTACTTTCCCAGGCCACAACAGAGAGCTGGATTGGAAGAGGAGCAGCTGGGAATAGAACCAGTGCCCATAAGGGATGCTGTCACTTCAGGCCAGGGCGTTAACCCATTGATCCACAGTGCCAGACCCAGATAATTATTTTTTTTAAGATTTTATTATTATTATTATTACTATTATTATTTGAAAGGCAGAGAGATACAGAGAAAGAGAGTAGGAGAGACCCTCCATCTGCTGGTTCACTCCCCCAACCTACCACAGCCAGGCTGAAACCAAAAGCCAGATATTCCATCTGGGTCTCCCATGTGGGTGGCAGAGACCAAGCATCTGAACCATAAACTCCTACCTCCCAGGGTGCACATTAGCAGGAAGATGGAATCAGGAGCAAAGATGGACACAAACCCAGATATTGTCACCTGGGATGAAGAGGTCCTAAGTGTATTTTTTAGCCATTGTGTCAAATGCCCACATCAGGGCCCCTGATAATTCTAATATTTCATAAGAGGGTTCAGTGTCTGGTCTTGACTCGGTCATTAATTAGCCTGATGACCTTGACCAAGTTGCCTCAATCCTTTAGTCTCCATCTTGCATATAAAACTGGAGGTCCACAGGGAGCCCTGGATCATGGAATATGTGGGTGGCTAATGGGTGGGAAGTAGGAATGAGGCTGTATTGTTGATCATGCATACTTTTTTAAAACTTTTATTTAATAAATATAAGTTATCAAAGTACAGCTTTTGGATTACAATGGCTTTTCCCCCCAACCCACAACCCTCCCATCTCCCGCTCCCTCTCCCATCTCATTCAGATCAAGATTCGTTTTCCATTATCTTTATAGACAGAAGATCAATTTAGTATATATTAAGTAAAGATTTCCACAGATTGTACCCACACAGAAACACAAAGTGTAAAGTACTGTTTGAGTACTAGTTATACCATTAATTCACATAGTACAACACAATAAGGACAGAGATTTTACATGGAGAGTAAGTGCACAGTGATTCTTGTTGTTGATTTAACAATTGACACTCTTGTTTATGGCGTCAGTAATCACCCGAGGCTCTTGTTATGTGTTGCCAAGGCTATGGAAGCCTTTGGAGTTTGCCAACTCTGATCTTATTTAGACAAGGTCATATTCAAAGTGGGAGTTCTCTCCTCCCTTCAGAGAAAGGTACCTCCTCCTTTGATGGCCTGTTCTTTCCGCTGGGATCTCACTCACAGAGATCTTTCATTTAGGTTTTTTTTTTTTTTTTTTTTTGACAGAGTGTCTTGGCTTTCCATGCTTAAAATACTCTCATGGGCTCTTCAGCCAGATCCGAATGCCTTAAAGGCTGATTCTGAGGCCAGAGTGCTGTTTAGGACCTCTGCCATTCTATGAGTCTGCTGTGTATCCCACTTCCCATGTTGGATAGTTCTCTCCTTTTTAATTCTATCAGTTAGTATTAGCAGACACTAGTCTTGTTTATGTGATCCCTTTGGCTATTTTTTCTTCTTTTGACAGGCAGAGTGGACAGTGAGAGAGACAGAGAGAAAGGTCTTCCTTTTCCATTGGTTCACCCCCAATGGCTGCTGCGGCCAGTGCGTTGCAGCCAGCGCACGGCGCTGATCCGAAGCCAGGAGCCAGGTGCTTCTCCTGGTCTCCCATGCGGGTGCAGGGCCCAAGGACTTTGGCCATCCTGCACTGCACTCCCGGGCCACAGCAGAGAGCTGGACAGGAAGAGGAATGACCGGGACAGAATCCGGCACCCTGACCAGGACTAGAACCTGGTGTGCCGGTGCCACAGGCAGAGAATTAGCCTATTGAGCCGCAGTGACAGCCGATCCCTTTGACTCTTAATCCTATCATTATGATCAATTGTGAACTGAAACTGATCACTTTGACTAGTGAGATGGCATTGGTACATGCCACCTTGACGGGATTGAATTGGAATCCCCTGGCATGTTTGTAACTCTACCATTTGGAGCAAGTCCGATTGAGCAGATCATGCATACATTTTAATCACATCATTGACTCCACTGTTCCTATCAGGTGTCCAGACATTATTTCTAAGGCTTTTAAAGCTTTCTTTTTTTTTTTGTTGTTGTTGCTACAAATTTGTACTTGTGATTCTTTTCCACAAAACATTTCTTGATGCAACTTACGCCAAAACAAACACTGAAATGCAGGGAAACATCATGGAGCTGTTGCTACAAAAATGCCAAGTAACAAAAACAGCATTTGGTAGCATACAACAGTAACCCTGCAATGCTCATGTGTCTGCAGTTGGTGATTTAGGTTTTAGAAGTTGGTTTTCTGGTTTCAGATGGCGGTCAGCTGGAGACTTGACCATTTGAACTGAGCTTCAAATGTGCCTATGGTTGACTGGGCAACAGGACTCTCCTTCATTTGTCTCTCACTTTCCTCCAGAAAGCTAGTCTGGTCATATTCTTACAGGGATGGCAGGGGTAAAGAGAGAGCAGAAAAGAACAAAGCCTTTTCAAGTCCGTATGTCAAGTTTGTTATTGTTCCATTGGCCAAAATAAATTATATGGCCCAATCCAGAGTCAGTGTGTGAGAGCACATTCAAGGGGTGTAAATACAAGGAGGTGTGAAAAAATAGGGCCATTAATATATTCAGTCTACCATGAGGAAATCATAAGTCTTATATGGCCAAATTGGTTAGGTTTCAGAACCCAGCTCAGGGAGTGTTAAGTGAAAGGGATATCCATTGGTAACCTGGTTCGTCAGACTACAGGAAATACTGCTAGCAAATCTGTGAGCAGGAGACTATGTGAGTATGAAGAAATTACTCTTCTAATAAATCTACAAACTTTGATTTTTCTCTAAATCCCTTTTCTGAAACTTTCAGTTTTCCACTGGGAATAAATGAGTCACATCATTCACGTACTTAATGTTTTAGAATACAAATGTTTATGCAAAGCTTAGAGAGAAAGAATGAGAACCGTTTCCCTTGTGCAATAGCAGGAAGTCCTTCCCATGCTTGGGTGCATGATTAGAGTGTGTGAGATGGGACACTCCTTACCCACCAGAGTGTAAAATTAAAGTCGGCAAAATGCAAGCCTACTGAATCAGCTTTTACTAAGTGGAAGAACCAGCAACCTGTGCCAGTGGAGGGAACATCTGCCCATGTTCAAATGGCAATTATTAATTTAAAAATATGTATTTATTGATGAGGGGGGGAGGGAGGGAGGGAGGGAGAGAGAGAGAGAGATTTTCCATCTCCTGGTTCTCTATTCAAATACTTCAACCACCTGGGCTAAGCTGTGGTTGAGGCTGTGAGCCAGAAACTCAACTCAGGTCTGCCACCTGGGTAGATGGCAAGAACCCAATTAGTTGAGCCATGACTGTTGCCTCCCAGGGTCTGCATTAGCAGGAAGCTGGAGTCAAAAACTGGAGGCAGGTATTGAGCCTGGACAACCTGATATGGAACACAGGTGTCTCACCTGCTAGGACAAATGCTACTCTTGAATGGCAGTTTTGATTATGAGCATGTTTGGCCTTACCTGCTGTCTTTGGAGTCTTGTTTAAGATAAAATTCTATGGATCATCCCAATAGCAACACAATTGAACAAGTTGGGAAACAATGAAGACATGGTGCAAACTTCCCATTGGATTGGCACTGGGCAGCAGAAGCAGAGTTCTTTGTGTGACCCTGCCTCATCATGGGAAGTGAAAGCCAGGACCTCTGTGCTCAATGATTCCTGCAACCTGCACCTGACACGCGGACCCAGGCTGAACTGTGCTTCAGGGGGTGACACTGTGTGATATTTCACAAGATTTAATAAACACCTAAACTCAGAACCAAAGGCTTTCACCTGCTTCTCACATTGTCACTAACTTCAACCTAAATAACTTCACAGGTCAACTTGGGTGCTCTGTCCAAAAGTCGGTCAAGAGCAATATTGCAAAGATTGAAGAGAAGTCATGTTCGCTGCTCAAGTATTGTTTTAGGTAGTGAATAAGTAGAAGTAGTTATTTTTCTGGATGGATGTCTGTCAAACTTTCTCTCCAAGAAATGTCATTTGGGGGTGTCACATCCAATTCCAGCGATGTCAGTTACCAGCCTGTAAAATGTGCCTGAGATAACCCCGCTCAATAAGAAGAGCATGTCCTAGCCACTGTGATGAGCCTGACCTTGTCGTAGACACACACCAAAGCAGCCATTCAACAGCAGCATTCGTTGCTGGCCCTCTTTAGAGTCTGAGTGACAACTGTGGCCAGATGAAGGTGGAAAGGGAACAAAAACATGAACACGGTGATTTTCAATACATTTTTTTCCTTGTCTTGGGGCGAAAAATTACACCATTATGTCATTTTGGTGATGTGCTCATCAACACGAGTGAAAACCTCATTTGTCATCTTCTGGTCTGATAGAAAATCAGAGAGTTTAGGGAATTCAGCTGGCTGTCAGCATTCTTCGCTGTCAAGAGAAACAGCTGAAGGAAGGCAGCAAGATCTTACAGGCCAATGAGAACGGCTGGGCCCTGATGCACATTCTGACTCGGAAATCCACAGAAAGATCGTCAGTTCCTGACATTCCAATCCAATCTGCTGAAGCTGTTTATCAGGTCCCGACGAAGACAGGATGCAAATATGCCACTTACATCTGCAAATACAATAATGAAAACTGATATTTGTAATTGTATCTGTGTGGTCCCACTGACTCAAAACTAAATGGATTTCCAACCTAATATTGCTAAATGAACCCTTGAAAATGTGAGGCCCATTATGACAGTGGAAGAGTGGCTTTGCTTCTCAACATCCTAACATGTTAGGGACATCTCTTGTCATTTTGACGGAAATATTTCTGTCTCTTGAGATTGCCTTGCTACAGATTTAACCCCATCTTTTATGCTGGTAAAGTGTTTGTCAGGTTCCTTCCATTTGCTCTAATTTTGGAAACAGAGGGTGCGGGGAGAGACAGTTTGGTGGAGAGATACTTCTGGGCACTCCTCTCCCATCTACAATTCAAGCGTCTTCCAGGAGAGAGGCAAGGGGAGGGGTGCAGGATCTCCACAAAGTTCCCTCTTAGGGTCAAGAGTTTGAAATCCCATCCTGGGGCTGGCGCTGTGGCTTAGCAGGTAAAGCTGCCACCTGCAGTGCTGGCATCACATATGGGTGCCGGTTCGAGTCCTGGCTGCTCCACTTCCAATCCAGTTCTCTGCTATGGGCTGGGAAAGCAGCAAAAGTTGGCCCTGTCCTTGGGCCCCTGCACCCATGTGGGAAGACCTAGAGGAAGCTCCTGGCTCCTGGCTTTGGATCAGCACACCTCCAGCCATTGTGGCCAAGAGGGGAGTGAACCAGCAGATGGAAGACTCTCTCTCTCTCTGCCTCTCCTCCTCTTTTCTCTTTCAAATAAATAAATAAATCTTAAAAAAAAAAAAAAACTCATCCTGTCACTCATGCCCGATGACAGGCACCTTTGATATGCTCACCTCCTCTTGGCCCCTAGCTCAATACAACAGCACTGTCCCAGATGCTTAATTCCAACATTAAAATCAGCACAACACAGTTAACTCTTTACTGTGGGCATTCTGAAGCAGACAGATGGGAGAATACATTCGTGATGGGTCTCACAAATTGCTTACCATCCATCTCTCTTTCCCTTTCACTCTCTCTATCATGGGGTTTCTTTCCCAAGGTGAATTTCTCAGAAGTCTCCCTTTGTCTCAGCCCACACTCTTCTTTCCTTTTATTTTGGAGAATGACTTGGTCTTCTCACCCTTACTCCCCATGTTCTGCAACAATGATGACCCTGGGCTGTCTGAGGGAGAGAGAGTCCCCTTCTCCTTGGGTTAAGGGGAGAGGAGAATGGGAAAAAAAAATCACAACAATTTGTAGCTGAGTTTCTTTTTCTGAAATCTGTTACCTTTCTGGGTCTCAGATTCCTCATCCGTAGAGTGGGTACAATGACAGTAAGCCGCGTTGGGTGGTTGGCGGAAATGAGAGTGGGTCAGGAAAATCCCCTCCCACAGTGTGGAGCTTGCACACAATAAACCTTTTCTCTTTCCACTGTGCCCAGGGGCGCTTCAGAAATGTTCCTTTATTATCATGTTGGCTCTTCTCCCTGAGAATGAAGGGTTTTTTTAATGGTAGTAGTTCCTTAGGATTATTTCTAGATGTAGTAACTGTCGTTACAGCATGTTTTTATTTTTTGACAGGCAGAGTTAGTGGGAGAGAGACAGAGAGAAAGGTCTTCCTTTTTTCTGTTGGTTCACCCCCAGTGCGTTGCGGCCGGCACGCTGCACTGATCCGAAGCCAGGAGCCAGGTGCTTCCTCCTGGTCTCCCATGTGGGTGCAGGGCCCAAGGACCTGGGCTATCCTCCACTGTCCTCCAAGGCCACAGCAGAGAGCTGGACTGGAAGAGGAGCAACAGGGACAGAATCCGGTACCCCAACCGGGACTAGAACCCGGGGTACCAGCGCCGCAGGTGGAGGATTAGCCTAGTGAGCTGTGGCGCCGGCCACAGCATGTTTTAATGGCCATTTCCCACCTTTAACATTCTGAGGGAAAGAACAGTGTTCTGCTCATTTTTGCTATCCCTGATAATATCCATCAATATTATTCAAATATTCCCGAGTTTACTGCTTACTCCGCATTAGACCATAAGCACTGGATTATGATATGGACCAGATCTCAACCCACTTCCTAGACTCAAATGTCACATTTGGACACTGGGTCACTTCCGAAGCCCTAAGTGACTTGGTACAGATCATGAGAGAACGGCTTGGGATGACAGCATTGCTCGTCAGTTGAGATTTAGCGTTGTTCCTTTGGGGAAAAAGACTTCGGTAATTTTTCCAGCAACAGATACACCTGTTGTTTCTAGGCCTGTAAGGCTGTGTGAAGGCTGGCCGAAATTTCCGTGCTGGCTTATAAAATATAAATGATTCAGACAAGGAGACCACGTTAATTCCCTTTAGAAGACGTTTCTGTCGAGCATCGTTACACACTCCGTTTTGATAAAGTTAAACTTTGACATTATTTTACCCACACAGCTCCCCCTGCTCCTGCGAAAACCTCGCAATTCCCAGGTAAACAGAGGATTCGGATTCATGAGTCTTGTTGGACATCAGCATCGACTTTCAGAGTTTTGCAGAATTAGTCCTTCCGGTGCCCAAAACAATAGTACGGTTTTTTTTTTCTTTGTATATGAAAGAACGTGCTTTGGAAAACTTCATTACAACTTCGATAATTCACTAAGCTGGTCCTTCCCTTTCACCTCCTCAATAGAAAGGAAGTTTTCAATATTCGTAACCTGCCCTGAATTTTCACTTGTGGTATTTTCAAGCACTTGCTTCTCATATTGTTGGCTTTTTTCTTTCTTTTTTACTTATTTAAAGGGAATAGATTTCATGCATTTCATATATACAGTTTTAACAGCAAAATGATACTGCCCTCCCCATCCTTCCTCCCTCTCTCACTCATACCTTCCCTCCTCCTTTTCTTATTCTTCTTTTAATTTCTACAATGACATAAGATGGTGAGCCCTCAGAGCCCGAAACACTGTCCCATCTTGGGATTTAGATGTAGCCTTCATAGAACATGTTCTGTTTCCCTGCAGTTGCTTTTGTGTCTTTTGTCAGAGAGAGAACAAGAGAGCAAGCAGACAGGAGGAGGCATTGAGAGGGGGCAGAGAGGCAGCCTCTCCCCTGTCTACTCGCTCTGTATCCCTGACATAAGACTGTCTCTTACCCACGTTGGCAGACACTTTTAGAAATGCAAATGAGAATTTATTTTCTCATGCACTGCTCTGCCAATGACTTCTCCTCATCCCACCCACCAAAAATAAAAAATAATGTTGACTTCTGAGCTGCACCATCATCTCTAGAAAAAAGATCATAGATGGAGAAAACAGCATTTAATTGCATCTTATATGCATTTTCTGATCATATCGGAGACACATAGTTAAGACAAAAATGAGGAAATAGAAAAGAAATTCATATTCATCACACTTCTTAGACTCACTCATTAACTTTGACATGTTTCCTTATATGTTGTGTGTGCCTGTATGTACACACTTGCAGATATTTAACTTAACTTCCATTTGATTGCATTTCCACCTTCCCGTAAACAAACAAGAAAACTGCTTGAAATTACATTGCTACCCCCACCCCCCACCACTACTCCCAACTGTGCTAAAGAGAAACAGTTCTATACACCGGATGCAAAGTGAGCTTTGAAGGCATGTTTTCAGAGAACTAGTAATTTTGTAGCTTCTCACAGCCAGAATTTTTGAATGGTAAGAAACAAAAAAAAAAAAAAAAAAAAAAAAGAAAAAAAAAGAACAGAAGGCAGCAATGAGTAGAGAAAATGGTAGAATAATCAGCTGTGTTGTTGAAGCCGGCGGAAGACTGAGTCAGCCTGTCACAGCTAAGCCGTATTCAAAGGCAAGTGGTCTCTGTGCGATGGGCAGCGTGCCAGAAAGTGATAATAAAGGAGCCATGTCGGGCTGCAGCATGGCACTCTAGAAATACATTTTCCAATTAGTCACAAGTGTTTATTCATCAAGGCATACCACGATGCTTTTGGTAACTGAGTTATACAAGCAGCTGTAATTGGCCATTGAGAAGCCTCAATGCAAATGTTTGGATGCCTAATCCTGAAATTGTTCCTGCTCCAGATTTCCACTGAATGGTCGCTGTCCTGGAGTAGTGTCGATGGAATGTCTGCGACTGCAGACTGGGGCCCTTTACAGTCATCAAGCACGAACTTGGGTCCACCCTGGCGATTGAGCCATTTTTCCTGATGGATTTGGAGAAATTGAAGTGCACTGAAAAATGTTCTATCAGCAAGGTGGGTGGTATTTGCTTTAAGCCTAAAGGGATGCTTGACAGACTGGCCAACTGACATATGTGTGTGTGTGTGTGTGCACGTGTGTGTGTGTGTGTAGCTACAGAAGCGAAACAAGGAAACAAGGAAAGAACAGCAGTGGAGGTTCTCATTGGCCCCTGGTTCCAACAAGGAGCTCAGCTGAACAAGCCATGATGCTCACAGACTTGGCCTGGGAAAGAGGAGAGCCCCCATGATGGCTCTATAACGCTAGCGCACCACACTCACTTTCCGGCTACTAGTCTGGAGCACTTTTCAAGCTACAAAAGAAGAATCCCATGGGACATTTTCTAACCTTCAAGAAAAAAAAAACATCAGGACTAATAGGCTTTCAAATTAAAAAATTTTTTTTCACTTCTCTGTAGTATAGAACTGCAAATGACTACCTAAAAGGGTCTCCTGCCTTTATTCTCCCAAGTTTTCAGGTACTTAGGGTGAGAGCCTTGTGACAATTACATCAGTTTCCACTGAAGTCCGCAGGGCTGAGGCTTATACCATCTTTCTCAAGGAGATTTCTTTGGCTAATAAGGAACCAGCAGCTTGTTTGAAAGGATGCTGCAATATAGGGAAAAAAATAGAATTTCAGGTCAAGGAAAAATGTTATGGTAGAATTACCACTCTTCATTTTATTTATTTTTTTTAAATGGAGAACATAAGAGGAGAATCCTTCCTTCTCTCTTTTTTTTAAAGATTTATTTGAAAGTCACAGTTACACAGAGAGAGAAGGAGAGGCAGAGAGAGAAAGGTCTTCCATCCGCTGGTTCACTCCCTAATTGGTTGCAATCGTCAGAGCTGTGCCAATCCAAAGCCAGGAGCCAGGAACTTCTTCTGGGTCTCCCATGTGGGTGCAGGGGCCCAAGGACTTGGGCCATCTTCCACTGCTTTCCCAGGCCATTGCAGAGAGCTGGATAGGAAGTGGAGCAGGTAGGACTTGAACTGGTGCCCATACGAGAATGCCGGCACTGCAAGGGGTGGCTTTACCTGCCACTCCACAGTGCAGGCCCAGAATTACCACTCTTTAAAGGCTGAAAAGGAAGCTGATGCGAGTCTCATTTGTAATGGTAAGAGCAGTGCAACCCAAATTAGGCTTTGAAAATAGCTCTCTGATAGCAGTATTTGACTCTTAAAAGGAGGACTATCATTAAAAACAAATTTATTTCATTCTCCCTTCAAGTTTAAAATGTACTTTCATTCCTACAGGTATAAAAACACCTACTGACCCTGGTACATAAAGCTCATGGTATGTAAAGATTTATTGACACAATAACCTGAACATCCAGCTCACAATACAAAGCAAAATCTAAATCACTACCCTGTTTCTCTCTGTTGGTGTTTAATCCAGGGCATTAGATCGTGAAGCTTCTCTGAGGCTCCACACCACTGAACCATAGCCCAGACAAGAGGCCCAGTGCCTTCGTCATGACCAGCTTATCTAATCTAGTGGGTAAAAGCCATCCAGCCCATTTTAGCAAGCATTGCTGAATAGCTTTCATGTACTCAGCATATGCAGCCAGGAATATTGCTGTGGAACTAAAAAAGATTAGGAGATGAGGTATGAGAGGTGTGTCCTACCAGAGCCACCTGCCCAGGTCTCCAGGCCACCTTGCTCTAAAGCATCAGCTATGTTGTATTGGCAAGCAGGTGCTGAGAGTACACAGATACTGCGGACTGTCCGAGCATCTAATATAAGAGAGAATCCAGTGGGCAAAGTTGGGCTGGGGCAAGAGAGAGATTTAGAAAGCAGAGGGCTTAGCAGTCAGGGAAAATTTTTAGGTTGTTAGTCTGAGGACTCCTGGAGATCACCTGCTGTCTTTTTTTTTTTTTTTTTTTTAAGATTTATTCATCTGTTCTGAATGTCAGAGTTACAGAGAATAGGGGAGAGAGAGAAAGATCCTCCATCTACTGGCTCACTCCCCAGATGGCCTCCACAGCCAGCGCTAAGCCAGGTTGAAGCTCCACCTGGATCTCTCACGTGCGTGGCAGGGACCCAAATACTTGGGTCATCTGCTGCTGCTTTTCCCAGGGCATTAGCAGGGAGGTGGATAGGAAGTGGAGCAGCAGGGACATGAACCACCACCCTCGTGACATGCTCACACAGGCTGCAGCTTTGCCCCGGGGTGCCACAAGGCCGGCCCCACCTGATGTCTCTTAAACCAACCTTCCGCCCCAATGTCTGGGTTAGCACTGCTCTGCCAAGCTTCAAGGGTCCTCATCACCCCGGGCATGTTGCTCACTGTGTGTGTTGTTAGGTCTTTGCATGCAGTGGGGTACAGATGGCCTGAAGGTTGCAGGAAGAGCTGGCTTCATGGGCATGTTGTCCCTGTGTCTGCAGCAGGCTCGCGGGCACAAAGATTCCACTCTTGGTTACATGCTCCGCTGTTGCCACCTTGAAATTTGCAACAATTTTGGTCAAAGGAAACTCACCTTTTCATATGGCAGTGGGCCTGCTAATGATGCAGCCAGTGCTACATACAAGCCTGCATCTCAGAGAGCCACTTCATCTGCTCTACCCTAAGGGGAGGAGTTCTGGATTTAAATAGACAGATGTGGGGAGCAACTTGGACTAGACTAAGTTACTGGAATTAAGACTTAATCTATGCATCTGCTCTCCCACAATATGGCGCTGGGAGAGGAGTAAACAGCTTCTACGCAGCTGCCTCCAGTTCGACCAATAAACTGCAGGAGCTGCTCCTGATTGGAGGAGAGCAGCGTGCTCGGCGTATGGGTAGCAGAGTTGGGATTGGTGGAAGAGGACTATAAAGGAGGAGAGAGACAACATGCACCAGGAACATCTGGATAACATCTGAGCAGCCCCCGAGAGAGCCGGCAGGCGGTGTGCCGCTCCCTCGCGGAAGTGGGGAAAGTGGCAGAGGGAACCGCCCCTCCACGGAGGTGGAGGGGTTGCCAGCCAACCCGGGAAGGACCAGCAGCAAACCCGGGAAGGGCCGAGCAGACAAAAGAACAGCGCAGGGTCCTGTGTTGTTCCTCCGCGAATGGGGGAGCGACAGACAGAGGCTCTGTTGGAAATACGGAGAGTAGCCATCAAAAGCTGATATTGCCCTTTCTTGGGATGTGGCCAGGGCCCCTCATTCAGAATGGAAAAAACAAATAAAAGCTGCTCATCATGATAATGGGGAAGCCATGGATTCTAAGGTCAAGCCAGGTGCTTGGCTACTTAATTGGGTAAATGTTCTTTTATTCCCTTCCATATGGATTGAGACTTCACGACTACCGGAAAAGTCAAGGTTTGTCCTTGGGAGGTGAGCTTATTTTAATAGGTCAACTAATACATTTCCAGCAGGCCTGCAGCTTGTAGAAGCATTGAAAGGGAGCCCCCAGGGGCACTTGCAGCCTGAGCCCTACCGTAGGAGCCTTTCTCCTAAACCTGTAATAGCAATAGCAACAGGGCCACAGGATTAACTCTAGAGGACAATTCAGGGCGTGAGTTGTGGTCTCAGACTTTGGACATTGTTCAGGGGGTAGGACCTGGTGGCTTTTAAAAAGTAGCTTCCTAATGAGATTCCAGGGGAAGTCCAAGCTAACGGAAATGCCAATCGCTAACATTCCTGTGCTGTAATTCCAACACAGCCCTAGTTATTCATCAGAAAGTCCATATAAGCATGTACTATTTGTTCTTTGGTCTTGGGCTTGCTAAGGGGGATTGCAGACAGAGAACAAGGGCTTGAGACGAGGGAACTGTTCTACTCCCATCTCTTTCTGACATCTGTGGGACTGATGGTGTCCACCATTCCGGGGAGTGATGCCCTAAGCTCCACGCGCTCATGGAGGCCTTGGATGTGCTGTTAGTCCCATGAGATGAAGCTCAGTTACGGAGAGGACTGACACAAGAGGCAGGAAAGTCAAACTGCTGCTACCCCTGTGCGGTATCAGGGAGCAGGGCGCCTGTTGAACTTCCAGATTAGAAAATTTATCTAACAGGATGAAAAATTCTTTTGAAAGATTTTAAAAAGGTTTATTAACTTGAAAGGGAGACTGATGAGAATGAAAAATAGAGAGAGAGAGAGAGAGAGAGATTCCATATACTGCTTCATGCTGCACATGGCCACAATGTGGAGGAGGGGGCTGGACCAGGTTAAAGCTAAGACCCATGAACTCCATTTGGGTCTCCCGCGTGGGTGGCAGAATCTCAATTACTTGGACCATCATTCGCTGTCTCCCAGGTGCACTAGCAGGAAGCTGGATGGGAAGTAAAGTAGCTGGGACTTAAGCCAGGTACTCCCATATGGGATGTGGGTGTCCCAAGTGGCAGTTGAATCTGCTGCGCCACAATGCCAATCCCCAGGGCTGAAACTCCTCCACCATTGTTACATCTTATTCATCTAATATGTGAGCCAAAATCTTTATTTTTTATAACACAAAAGTTATGTGTTACAGATATGCTATATCTAGTTATATATAATGGGCACAGTGCATGTCATAGCTAAGTTTGTCATGCACTGAAATAATTCATTGAATTCGATGAAACAAGGTTGTGTTCTATATTTAATAACTTTGTAATTGTTATTGCACTGCGTGTAATGAGGCAAGTATAACGTATGATTCGCTAATACTGCTTTTACAAAGGCAAATGGAGTTTCCCTTCATTTGCTTGGCCCATTTGTTAGCATTCCTTTTTAAAAAAATTAAAAATTTTATTTAAGGTATACAAATTTCATGTATTTCATGTACACAGGTTTAGGCACATAGTGATTCTTCCACCCTACTCTTCCTCCTGCCCTCTCTTTCACTCTTCCTCCTCCTCCCTCTCCTGATCCCTCTCTCAAAATTTTTACAAAAATCTACTTTCAGTTTACTTTATACTCCTAAGATTAACCCTGCACTAAGTAAAGAGTTCAACGAATAGAAGAGAGGGAAAAAAAAACCACACTGTTCAGGGCTATAAACAATCATCCAAGCTCAAAACGTCAATTTCACTCCTATGCATTGCATTTTTGATCCTCTGTTTTACCACAGATCACGGAGAACATGCGGTATCCGTCGTTTGAGGATTGGCTGATTTCACTCACTGTAATGTTGGCATTCGGAACCGAGCGTGCTGGTCTCGCTCTGCGGCCCCCAGATTTGCCCAGATGTGCAGGGCTGGGTGACTGAGGCTGGCTCCCGTGGGCTCCATCATCACACTCCCCTGTGGCCTGGCGCCTGGTTGGATTTAGTCAATGAGAAGCACCCGCAGAAGGGGAGAGTGCAGAGGACAAAGGGTGGGCTTCTCCCTCCTCAGTCCCAGGTCCTCACTCCCTGTCTCAGTGAGAGCAGGATCTCCCGTGCCCTTCAGTCAGCGGCCCCTCCGCCGATGCTCCAGTTACCCTGGGCCCGGCTCGCCTAACTGCCTCCCCTTGTGCGTTCGGCCCTGACCCTGCATGACTCCGGTTGCCAGCCTCTCGCGCTGGGTCTTGCCTCAGTCCTGCCTCCCTGGGCAACTGTTCCTTTCCTAAAATCTCTCCCTTTGAATCCACCTGGCCCTTGGGGGAGCATAGGCAGGTTTTCTTCTTGCTGCAGGCAGGCTTCACCCCATGCCTCCCCCCCCTCCCCCCTCCCTCAGGTGCACAAGGCAATGCTGGTGAATCTGCTCCCCAGTACCTGGAGTTCTGTCTGGCCAGCGCCCCACCTCCGCCCTCTCCCTCACTCACCTGCCTGGGCGCACACACGTGTTGGTGAGTCTGCCTAAGATTTTCCTCCCACCTCCCCATCTTCCTTTTATCCTATTCCAGATCGGATACTGGCCACACTGCAGGCGTTTGGGGCAGCACATTTCTGGAACCAGCGACAGCACCCGGGGCTGAGGGTGGGGATAAGGGGCGGTGGAGGGGCTCACTGTGCTCACTGTGGACTTTCACCTAGAAGCACCCCTGTCGGAGGGAGGGAGAGCGGGAGGAGCGTGAGGGGAGGGAGAGCCCTTGGGGCCTCTCCCCAGATGCGCTGCCCAGACGTGTCCTGTCTCCATCTTTTCTTTCATCACAGTCTGTACTGACCGTCATCTTTCCCATCCCAAGGGGACCCTCCTTGGCGCAGGAAACTGCCGTTCACTCCTCTATCTCCTGCATCCGGCCACGGTGCTTGGCTCACGGAGATTCGTTAATTGTTAAAACAGGGTTTTCTTCCAGACCGTCCAAGATTAGTTTGAAAGGTGCTGGGGGTGGGGGTCAACACCGAATGTGAAGGAGATGAACAATGGAGAGATCAATCGGCCCCTCGGCCCTGGCTTGCCTCTTTGTTGGATCCACTTACCTTTAACTCATCAAAGCACAGATGAGTGGGGACTTAGCGTGGATTTTCAGTAGCTCTGGGTTGGTGTGGTATAAGGGGAATGCTGGAGGTAATGGGCTTAGCCCTTTACCAAAACTGGAGCTCCGTGGATAGCGCTGTGGCAGGGAAAAAAGCAGCACCAGTCTGGAAGCCAGTAAGCCTGGGTCTTGCCCTGGTTTGCGACAGTGACAAGTCACCCTTTATCTAACCTGTGCACGAGAGATGGAGATGATGCCTAGTTTGCATCCTTTGCAAGACTGTAGGGGAAGGCAGCTGAGATAGTGCAGGTGCCAGTGCCTTACCAGTGGATGGGAGTGAGACTAAGGAGAAGCTCCAGTGTGAGAGTATTTACAGCCCGCTGTATTTACAGCTCGCTGAGGCCAGGAGACGCGCCGTCCCCGGAAAGAGCGTGTGCGCTCCAAGGAGGCAGGTGTGCTGATTCCATTCCAGGAGTTAATTGTGTGGGCCCTGGAGGCCTCTGACATTCTCCAGTTCCCCTTTTTGGGGGTGGTGGATTAGTAGAGAATTTGTGTTCCTGCCCAGGCAGATTCCCTCTTGCTCCCCAGAGCTATTTCTCCCAGGTTTTGCCTCAATGTGATCACTCACTAATCCCTTTTCCCCTCTCAACGCTTACTTTTGACCAGCCCCATGTGTTTGCCTCAGCATGACTCGTGTGGAGGCAGATTTGGACCGAAAACATTTGATTGGAAAGCCACTGCAGGCCCGTACTGGGAGGAAGTCTCCAGGTTTCCAAACCCATCCTCTTGTATCATCAAAATGTCTCAGGTCAGATCGTGTGTGTGTGTGTGTGTGTGTGCATGTGTGTGGGTTGTATCTAGTGGTAAGGAGGCCCATGGGTCAAAAACCCATTTGAGTTTGTTTGGATGAGTAAGAGATGATGGGAATTCACTGTACAAGATTATAAATATTACAGAAGTTATTCAAAATCTCATTTACTTTTAGTCTGACTGCCTCTTTACATATTTAAATTCCATTTGCAGCCAGCGACCCTGATACTCTTAAAGAAAATAACAACAAACAAGCTACAGCTAAGGGAAATGTAAATTGGTTTGTTTGCTTCTTAACACTCCTGGGCAGTGAAAACACAAGCAATTGTTATTCCAAGGGACTCACTGAATATACAAAATCTCTGTCTTTCTTAGGAGTTTCTTTAAAGATTACCCACTTTTGGAAGAGTTCTTTGTGTCTAGAAACCAATTTTATGCTCTTTTTGTCCAGCTACAAAGTTCTTACAAACTTGTTTTCTACACACACACACACACACATTTGCACTCCTTTAGAAAAGGGTGAAAACAGGGTGCTTTGGGAGCACGTGTTTGTCGTTTTTCTCATAGTGTGCTAGGAGCCTCTAGCAGCCCCGTGGAATCGGGCTGTCCTGGAGGGGTTTGTGTTACGGAGCGCAGGGGGCCGGGCTCCTGCACAGCTGGCACCCTGGCCCTGGGCTGGAGTCGGTGCACACAGCAGTGGGGCTGGCGGCAGGCCTCTGGGCTCAGGCTGTGAAATCACCCCTGCACCCATGAGTTCCCAGCCTTCCTCTTCCTGGTGAACGTTTCCAGCAGCTTGCCTCGTGCCCTCACTCAGAAGTGTGCCTTCCTGGGTGAATTGCTATTGGTCTTCTGGTGGCTGTTTCCGATGAGTGATCCTGTAGAAGCCAAGATGCTGTTTCCTGGGCATGTGTCCTTGTGCTGCCACCAAAAGACGTAATATGGTGTCCTTTGCCTTCACTCCAAGTGGGCGGTGTAGAGGAACACTATTTCCCCAATGCAGATGTCTTTGTCTCTTTCCTCGGCATAATAAAGTACCACACAGGGAATCTGAAGCTAAGCTACCCCAAATTCAGTATTTTCATATATGTGGATTACCCAGTTTTTAAAATGATTCTTTTAAATATGGAACCACTCAGTGACATTTAAAATGGGATTTGATTTGCAAAATTTTTATTCAAGGATGTGTGAAGAGAAGATATACTTGTACCACAATGTTTCAATTTATTTGAGTACACAAGTCTCATAAGAGACACCAACCCTTGCCAAGCTCCAACAAAGACTGGTAGCTCAAATTTGGATTTGCCTTTTTAAAACACCATTCAACAATTCAAAAGGAATTCTCTTTTGTCTCACATACTATTAAACAGAAGAAGCTTTCTTTTGTTCTAATTTATCAAACTTAAGACACGGTTTTTAATTTATTTGAAAGGCAGAGGGACGAGAGGAAGCGAGAGGCATAAGAAAGACACAGGGATTTCCCATTTGCTGGTTCACTCCCCAAATGGTAACCAACACCTGGGGCTGCGCCAGGCCAGAGCTAGGAGCTGGAACCTCAATTCAGATTTCCCACATGGGCGGTAGGGATTCAACCGCCATCACCTAGCTATGGGCTCCCAGGGTGCTAAATAGCAGGAAGTTGGAATTGGGAGCTGGGCTGGATTCAAACCCAGGCTTTCTGATATGAGATGCAGACATCCCAAGCAGCATCTTAACCATTGGGCCAAATGCCCGCCCCGAAGCTTGTTTCTAAGGACCCAAAATGAGTATATTTGGGTGTGCTCTCTGTTTCATAATAAACTGTATTTCTTCTTGGTGTGTCACTGCTCAATGATATAAATCGCAATTGTAATTATAGCCCACAGAGGCTCCGACTGTTCAACAAAGGTGATTCAGGGAGGTCAAAACAGACCGTGAAAGTCATTACAGCAAAGCCGTTCAGGCTGGTGGTGCAGTAGGAACTCATTGCCCAGCTGATTGGAAAGCACAGATGTGGGTTCAGAACAAGAGGCTAGCTTGGTCTGGATGGGAGACAGCTGGACGGAACGAGCTGGGATTTGGGAGGAAAGCATGGCGCTGATGCTGCGGGGCCCATGTGCCAAGAAGTGCCCTGCTGTCTGCTGCTGGCTATGCCACACTTCTGCCTTCTACCTGGACTTTCAGAAACAGGACTTAAGTGTGAAAATCTAACAAAGGCTTTAAGTCCTAGGAACCCGAAGAAGCATTTGCTCCCTGACAAAGGAAGGTAGGGACATCCTACAAGTATTGTCTCCGAAGGGAGGCACTGAAAGATAAATTCTCAACTACTCCACTTGTTACAAGTAGCAGGTTTAACCATTCTACCTGTACCGGTTAGGTTGCAACAGCTTCTTCCAAATTTTCTTGGAACCTTGATTCTAAGCATTAAGACTTCCTGTAACAATGTCCAATGTCAAGAAGACACTAAGAACACCAAGAATCATTCTCTCCCCTCTGTCGTCTCATTGGCTAGAACTGGGCCCCCTAGTCACCCTTAAGCCAATCAAGAAGAGGGAAAGAACTTGTAGGGTAGGTCTAGATCAGTCATTGTTCATGTCGGGAGGCAGAAGCAGGGAAAAGGGGAACCCACTTTCCTAGAAAACATTCACAGTGCTATGTGAATGTAATTAGGCTTCTAAAGTTTACCGAGTCCCAAAGGGACATAAAAGAACCACCACACACTACTGACAGCATTGCCTCCTGAATGCGGTTGTGCAATGTAGCCCATTGGATACATGCTCCACGGCGAGGGAGGGCGTTGCTCTCCTCTGGGTCGCTTTGTTGGATGACTCACTCCGTGCTAGGTGTTGCCGGGCAGCTCCAGCTTGTGTTTCTATTAAAGAAGAGTAGGGTGATTTACCACCTCCTGATTCCAGCTTTGGATTGTGTGGTGACAAAGAGGAGCCTCGGGGCCACCATTATGGTGTATGAGTAAAGCCGCTGCTTGTGACGCCAGCATCCCGTGTGGGCTCCAGTTCGAGTCCTGGCTGCTCCACTTTTTTTTTTTTTTTTTGACAGGCAGAGTGGACAGTGAGAGAGAGACAGAGAGAAAGGTCTTCCTTTGCCGTTATTCACCCTCCAATGGCCGCTGCGGCCGGCGCACCGCGCTGATCCGGTGGCAGGAGCCAGGTGCTTCTCCTGGTCTCCCATGGGGTGCAGGGCCCAAGCACTTGGGCCATCCTCCACTGCACTCCTGGGCCACAGCAGAGAGCTGGCCTGGAAGAGGGGCAACCGGGACAGAATCCGGCGCCCCGACCGGGACCAGAACCCGGTGTGCCGGCGCCGCAAGCTGGAGGATTAGTCTAGTGAGCCGCGGCGCTGGCCTGCTGCTTCACTTCTGATTCAGATCCTTGCTAATGTGCCCGGGAAAGCAGCAGAAAATGGCCCAAGTGCTTTGGTTCTTGCACACACATGGGGTACCAGGATGCAGCTCTTGGCTCCTGGCTTCGGCTTGGCCCAGCCCTGGCCATTGTGAGCATTTGGGGAGTGAACCAGTGGATGGAAGATCTCTCTCTCTCTCTCTCTCTCTCTGTCTCTCTCTGTGTGTGTGTGTGTCGGGGTAACTCTGCCTTTCAAATAAATAAATCTTAGGGAAAAAAGGAGCCTCATAAAGCCTAAGCATTTCCCATATTAAAGATTCAGCAGTGGCTTGCTTCTCAAAGTGGCTCGGCACCCACCAGACCCACGTTCGGACTCTTCTCTCGATGACCGTGGTGTGAGTGCCTCAGGCTTTCACGTTCCCGTCTCAGCTCTTCTCTGCTGCACTTAGACTCCTCTCCTGGCCCATATCCCACCTCCCCCCAGATCGCGGAGAACCAAGGGTTGGAGTACAATGGGTCCAGGTGAGGAGTGAGAGTGTGATGAGGGGGTGAGGAACAGCCAAATGAGGAGAGCCGAGAAGAGCTCCTCTGGTTCCCTTCCCTAGATTTCAAGGCCCGTCCAGACCCAGTGTGTGGGCCTTTACGCTAGACTGTTAATTGCTTGTGTGGTGCCCGAGCCTGGCACGCTGTGGTCTCCCGGAGCCAGGTCTCCTTGTGTTTAGGATTCCAAGCACCATGATCTGGTTTCGGTTTCTGATGGCAGTGTGCTCTCTGGTGCAGTTGTGCATGGCCACAGCAAACAGCGCATGAACCCAAACCCACGGTTGCTACCTTTATTTTTACCTATTTCCCAAACCAACAGAAGTGGCCTTCATTTAAAACTACAGAAAATAGAAGTTTAGAAAAGTAAGGAAGAGAACTCAGAAATAACTTAAAGCAAACATGTATCACGTGGTGAACTTAAATGAAAGAAAAAGTGAGTCTAAAACTTAATAGCTTAAAATAAAATGGTCATATAATTCTCTATATTTTTGTTGTCTTTTTTTGTTTATTCTCTCTCCTCTCTCTCAAAAACCTTTCTAACTGGAAATTTAAACTGGTAGCTATTATTAAATTGTAGAAGAAATATAAGCATGTATTTTATCTTAAATTCTTCTTGGAATAAGGTATAACACTTGATTAATTAGTTGGTCAATCATGTAGCTTCTTCCAGAAGGAACATTATACAAAGCAAATATCTTTAACTTTGGTTTTGTAGACAATACACAGTTGATGATGGTTCTTAAGTTAATTAAATACTTCTTAAATCAATTTCCTAAAAAAGCAAATGGTATTTCATGTTATTGTGACCGAGTGAACATATTTCTATAGGAGGCTAAGCTAAGAGAGAACCAGCTACAAAATTCATAAATTGTTTCCAATTGCATTTCTCTTTCTAATGCACACTAATCATCTCTAACATTCCCTGGGCTACCTTTGGTCATTGAATTCCTCAGTTAGTCGCATCCACTTCTTTCTTCGTTTGTAAGCAGCACACCTATGGCTGATTGGGCCAGGAACCTCCTCTTTGGCCATGTAGGGGAGATGACACATTGGAAAGAAGAGTTCCTGGGAGACCAGGAAGAGGCACCTGGCTCCTGGCTTCGGATCAGCGCAGCACCAGCCGTGGTGGCCATTTGGGGAATGAATCAACGGAAGGAAGACCTTTCTCTCTGTCTCTCTCTCTCTCACTGTCCATAACTCTACCTATCAAATAAAAAAAATTAAAAAAAAAAGAGATCCTGGAGTCAGGATCACAGATTCAAGTGCTGCTCTTAGTAGCAGTTCACCTAGTCACAGGGCAATTAGTTGTTTAGCATTTTTTAGCATCAGCTCTCTCCTAAGTAACCCAGGGCTGATATTGCCTTGGCTTACTTCCATGCTAGCCACCCCCACCCCACCCCCACCCCACCTTGGCCACCACACAGTGAGTTGAGCAGCCACAAATCGCCACTCCTCCCTGCCTCCGTCACGTCTCTCTCTCTCGATGACTACACAGCCTTCCCTCGGATCTCCCTGCGTCTAGTCACCGTCCTCCCATCCATTCTCTGTGTGCTGGTCAGAGCCGATCGCATTCCTCTTATCCCGCTGCATGTCCCTTCGTGACTTGTCATTGTCCAGGGACAAGGTCCAAACCCCATGGTGTGGGTCCTACAACCCTCTCTAATCCGGCTGTGCCTTTTCTCTCCTGGCTCTCCCACCAGTTCCAACTCGGTTCACCTTCCAGCTGCCGTGAACTGTCCCCTAAACAGCAACCCTTCCGGCTCTGGATTCAGATGGAGCCTTTCCAATTCCCCTTCTCCTTGGCGCTCTGCTAAATGCTCACCACTCTTAGACCCTGCTTGGACGTCATTCCCCTAGTAGATGCCTGCTTGGGTTCTCCTCCCCAACCCCAGTGGTACCCCAAGGACCCATGAGGAATGTCTTCTGCACTCAGCACCTTGCACCAGCAAGAGCCTGTTGACCCCTGATCTGTCACAGGAGCCACGGGCTCCAGGGTGGAGCAGCCATATTTTCCCCATCTAATATCTTCAGGGTTCAACTTAGTTCCTCAGAGGAGTTGCTTAAAATATGCGGGATAAATGAATTAATGCAAGTCTCTCGGACTTTTTGTGAGGATTAAAATAGGAAAAGCATGGATACATTGCACTCACCCAAAAAACCGATCACCCCATTGTTACCAGCACAATTGTTATTACTATGACTATGAATACTGTTGCATAGTATTGTGGGGCTTTTGGATTGGATTGTGTCTTCTGCCTATAGAAACCTTTGGGCAAATGTCTCAAGGGCTTTTGACATTTTTAACTACAGCAATGTGTCGAAAACTGCTGGAGGCAAATTTTTTTTTTTGCATCTTCATAAAAATGTGCCCCAACCTCCACTTCCTTTATTTTCTGTTCGAGTACCTCTCACAACCTTTTGCAAATAAGTGGGTTTGTTCATTCTAACAGGCACTTCGGCAGTTGGTTCTCCTCTATGTAACCCCTTGCGTCCTTATTCAACAGAGGCTAGTAATTACCATAGCAACCGCAGCATGTGGCGCCTATGCACGCTCCCAGAAACAAAGCACTTGCTTAAAAAAAAAAAAAAACTACACACACACACACACACATTAATTTGTAACGTGAAATTCTATTTCATGGTATTTATGGGGGGAGAGGGGGATCCATGCCTGCAAGCAAGCCGACTTACCTTCTTCTCCAGACTCCGGGGCTTGCACTGTGGTTCTGCTGTTCCCCACCGCTTGGCACTGCCCATGCACACATATTGATTCATTTTAAAAGTGATTTGTGTGTGTGTGTGTGTGTGTGCAATGGGGGGAAAGAAAGATGGGAAGGATTCAGTTTCAGCGGGAAGGTGCAAAGGTCAGTGAGGGGTGCACAGCCCCGTGTAGCAGTTGTTCCTGTCTGAGTGATGATTATACTACCAAGGGGATTCATTAAAATGGAGCCGATTGCTGTTACACTGAATGAGGCTCTCCATAAATTCTGCTGTGAGCCTGTCAGTGGCTAAGCCCATATGTAATGCTTAAGTACAGCGCCTGCATCTGCTTGCCGGCGTCTGCGTCCCAGCCCGCGGACGCCTCTCTAAGCGCAGTGTGCATGTGGGTGCTCGCTTCAGCTCAATCAGGAATCCAGGGCCTGAAGTCCTGTGCATGCTCAGAAATTGGGAATTCCCATTTGTGTGTGTGTGTGTGTGTGTGTGTGTGTACGCATGTGCGCGCGCCCAGCAAGGCTTTGGGTTTTAGGTCGTAACACAGTTGTGAAGTCACACACATATTCTGCATCTCAGCTTGGGAGGGCCTGGGGTGGAAAGGAGGAAGAAGAGCGTTTGGGTTCAGCATTTGCAGGTAGCAGGGGATCCTGACACCACAGGGCCCACTTTAAAAAACGGAAGGAGGATGCATGCGCCAGGGGAGACTCTGGGTAGAGGTCGCCCTTGGTGTCCTTGGTCAGGGTGGCTTCTTTCTGTCCTGCCTCTAAGTGCTCGGGAGAGGGAAGAAATCCTGGATAGAAACTGCTTCAACGAGACCTTTTCTCAGGGGGTGTCTGCACCTGGTCAGGTGGAAGCCTCT